CTCCAAGAAAGGGCATCTGAGGCGCGAGAGGGTCGGGGCAGAGCTGCGCAGCCGCAGGAAGATGGACATGGGCGACGGCAAGGGCGACAGTAGCAAGAGGGAGAAGGGCGGGCGGGACGGAGGCGCCCCGTCAACGTCGGCCTACGATCGGCCCGCGCACCTCGTCGGGCCTGCAGGCGAGGCGCGGGACGCAGCTGCGCGAAATCGTCGGAGGCATGACGACTCGAGCCCATCAGTGCAGCAGGTGATCTCGGCGAGGCCGGGACAGGAGGCGCTGCCACCGATCGCGCCAGTGGCCGAGCCTCGACGGGCGTCTAGCCGCTCTGGCAGGTTACGCCATCGATGCACGCGGAAGATCACAGTCTGGGCTCTCGCCAACTAGTACGCGGGTGGGATTATGTCCATGGGCGCGGGCTCGTGCAAGGACTTCGCCCGATCCCGTCGCATGAGCGATCGATCTGCCAGAGAAAATGCGGGATCTGCACGGCCAGGTGCAACGGGTGGCTCTACGAACGGCTAAGCGACTGGCAGAGACGCGTCGGGACTTAAGTCTGACTGGCGCCCATCTGGAGCTAGCTCGCGCGGTGGAGGCGGGCGGGCCGCGGCAAGCCGGCCCGTCCGTCGGCCCGCGGAGCTTTGAGAGCAGAGCCGGCGAGCGAGCCGAGCGCGGCGAAGCGTGCCCAGATGCTCGACGCGCTCAGCACGGAGGAGGCGCAGTACTACGGCCTAGAGGAGAACGCGGTGGAGCATGACGACCTTAGGAGTCGGGCGCCGTTCGAGGAGCTGCAGGAGGTGTTCGGCTTCGTGGGCGGGGCCCAGCCTGAGTGCGAGAAGTCATGTGGCCACGAGGACCGCCCGCCCAACCTGCGGCGCTTCCGCGGCAGAGGCGGGCGCGGGGCTTGCGGCGCGCGCCGAGCTCGGGCCGCGCGGGCGCGGCTCTCGCGGGCCCGGCAGGCCTTGCCAGACCGCGAGGCTTGGGTCCTCTGGATCTGGCGCCGATTGGCGACGGGCAGCTCTCACAGAGCGCGCGCCCTGATGGCCGTCAATGCGGGAGTCTGCGCTCTGGCGTGGCGAGCCTCTTCCAAGATGTCCCCTGACGACGACTGGCGCGAGTGGCAGCAGCTGCGACGAGGGCGCCCGCCGCCTTCCCGCTTCTCGGCGGCGGGATGGCGCGAGGCTGCGCGACGCGCCCAGCTGAGTGATCAACGAGTCTTCGCTGTGATGCGCGTGTTTGCGGGCCCGCGGCGGGCCGAGGGCGCGCGGCGTGACGTGGGGCTGGGCGCGCAGGGGGCAGGCCTGGAGCGGCTTGTTATATCCGTGGACTTGGTGGTGGACTCGAGGTGGGGCCTGAGTCGGGTCGACGCGTTCGAGCAGCTGTGGGCCTCGGTGAAGGAAGGCCCTGTGGGCGCGAGTTTCGGCGACGCCCCCTGCTGGGCCTGGGGCCGGGCAAGGTTCCGACCGGGGGGCCCCCGACCCTTGCAGCGAGGCGGCAATTGCTGCTGGGGGCCCCCGGCGGAGCGGCTGACGACAGCCCCGAAAGCTCGGCTGGGCGAGGGCAACCACCCGATGCTCCACCACTTGACGCCGCGCAGCGGCGCGGCATGCTGCGGAGGCGCCGGGGGGCTGGAGCATCTTGCTGACCCGGGGATTGCGCCGCGCGCCCCCATCTTCGACGCGGGCATTTTGAAAGGCCTGGAAACGAGAACAGGAGCTCGGCGGCTCTCGCTCGACCAGCGCATGATGGGCGGGGCTTCGCAGAACCCTGCGAGGGCCACAGGCTCGGTCGCGTGGGCCGAGGCCGGCGTGCGTCGGAGGGCATCGCGGCGACGCTGGTGCGCATGGCGGAGACAGGAGAGGGCCCGATGGGCCGGCCACCTGAGATCGAGCGGGCGTTGCCCGAGGATCTCGTGTTTCTCGGAGAAGTTAGACAAGGGCGACTTCCTCTTCCTCAACGAGACCTCCTCGCGAGAGCGTCGGGCCGTGCTGGGCCCGTCGGGCGCGGTCTTCCACCCCGGCGTCGACGGCGGCCAGATCTCCGCGGGCGGAGGCTCCAAAGGGCACTGGGGAGGCGAGGGCCCACGTGGTCCGCCAGGTGGCAGACGCGCTTGAGGACGCGGGCTTCGTTGCCAAGGGTCGGAGGGAGCGCGGCCCGGTCGATCGCGTTGTGCGCCGCGAGGTCGAGGCCAGCCCAGCTCGGGCGCGAGCGCCGAAGAGGAAGGCGGCGCTGCTGCACGAGGCGCCGGAGGTGATGCCGACGAGGGAGCGGGTGCACCTGGGCCACCTGGCGCCCGTCTGGCGCGGGCTGTCGGCGCCGCAGCGCCCGTTCCACTTCGCGCGCCAGGAGAGCCGCCAGTGGAGGAGACGGTGGCCTTCCGCACTGTGGGGGGCGATCGCGACGAAGAGGGCGGTCATGGGCCTCTGCGCCGACCTGGGGGCCCCGTTGCCGCCGTTGCTGTTCGCGCCCGACCCGGAGGGGCCCAGGGGCTTCGACGCTGGCGGCGTCGGCGCGGCCGTGGCGGCGGCCGACGGGAAGCTGCCGGGGGATCTCCGGCGCTCAGGCACGCGGCTTGGCGCGGCGGTCGCCGAGCCAGGCCTGTTGCAGAAGGTGTCGGGGGGGGGGGGGGGGGGGGGGGGGGGACGTCCCTGGAGCCGCGCCTGCCCGTGAGCGCCATCGCCAGAGGCTGGGTCGACTGCGAGGCGAAGTAGGTGCCTGCGGAGGCGGGTCGCTGGAAGTGGGAGGACCACATCGTGCTGGGAGAGGGCCGCGCGGCCTTGCGAGTCCTGGCGCGGCTGGTGGTCACCCCGTCAGTCCACCGCTCGAAGGTGCTCAGCCTCGAGGACAACATGGCTTTCGCCAGCGCCGTGGCGAAGGGTCGATCGACAGCTGGGCCAGTCACCATACATACTGAGGAGGAGGTGCGCATCGACCAGTCTTCGGAGATAAGGATGCACCTCCCGTGGGTGGAGACAGAGAGGACGCCCGCGGATGGCCCCTCGCGCACGAGAGGATGTGGCGCAGACCCAGAGGGGCACGGCGCCTCAGTGCCAGAAGCAGCGGCGCGCGACCAGCGCACCATCCCAAACTGATGACAGACAGCCCGAGGGTGCCGGGGGATCCGCACCTGGAGGGCCGAGTGCAACCATCTACTCTGCTGAGCTACCGACAGCGAGCCGCCGAGTTTTACAAGTGGTGCTTGGTGGAGGGAGCGCCCCCGTGGACGTTTGACGAGTGGGGCGACGCCCTGATGGAGTACAACATTTTCTTAGGGCCATCTTGGGGCGTCTTAGGTTTTGTTATGCCATTTTGACGCCATCTGGGACCGTTCGGAAGCTACGTTGGCTCGTCCGGTACTTATTTGGAATCTCCCCGGATGCTCTGAGGGGGCCGGCGAAAATCCAGAGGCCCCAGGGAGGCCCTTGGGGGGATGGGGGCTTGGTGTATGTCAGGTGCCCCTGGTGTGCTGCGGCCTGGGGGCCCCCGGGGCGGGGTTGCGGGCATATGAAGCATCAGGCCCCCAAGAGCCCCTCCCAAGAGGGCCCGAAAAGGGTTTCCAAGAGCTCCAAGGGAGGCCACAGTTGGCGTCAGCATTGCCTCCACGAGGCTCCCCTGAAGCTCCCCAAGAGATCCGCAGAGGCGTTCACGAGGTCTCACGCCAACAACCCAGGCACGGTTGCAGGACGGGCGGAAAGCCGCCAGGAGGGGCGCAGGTGCACGAGGGGCACAGTGGCCCCTCCTCTCTGTCCTCGCACTTCGAGGCCTCGAGGCCGAGAGGGCCCAAGAGGCAGTCAGCCGTCCCCCAAGATCCCCCCGAAGGGGCTCGAACAAAAAGACCCAAGAGAGGCCCCAGTATGTATCCAAACGGCCCCCAAAGGGCTTCGAAGTTGCCTCTAAGAAGTTGGCCTGAGGTTTCCCGGAAGACCCCAACAGGTATCCAGGGGGTCTTTGACCAACATCCCAGGCACGGTGGCAGGATGGGCCGCATGCCACCAGGAGGTGCACACGTGGACGAGAGGCACCGTGGCCCCTCCTTCATGTCCTCCTCTTTGCTCTTTGTCTTCCGAGGCGTCGCTTCTCCTCCTGCTCTTGTCCCTCCTTGCCGTTCTGCCCTCGTTTTCGTCGCCGTCATGCTCTTGACTCTTCTCCTCCACACCGCCCCCCTCGTCCTCTTCGTCGCCCTCCTGCAGACCACCGTGCTTAGGGAAGGGCTGCTTACTACGCTTTCCCGCAGCATCTTCAAGCTAAAGTCCTATCCGCAACCGTCGCCCAACCCTCGACATCTCACTGCGAGCTGGGAGTTTGGAGATCCTGAGCGCGCACTGCGAAAACACACGCACACACGTATATATAGAGAGAGGAGTGGAGAACGAGAGAGAGAGAGAGAGTGATAGACAGAGGGAGAAGAGAGATAACATAGAGAGAGATATCCTGATATCCAGACTCGACGAACATTACAGCATGTTACACGTTGTGCTATGTGGTATCATGGTTGGCTGCTAGTCGCTTTCTTATGTTCTGGATGGGGTTGTGACATGAATAATGTTCTAGGGCCGCCAATAAACGTTCTTGACACGCACACACACACACACACACACACACGCATTACAACATGATATCATTTACCAGGCCGTTCAGCATGCCAGCGTGTTGCACGACCGCTTTACAGTAGGAACATCTGTGGGAGGCTGTGAAGACACACGTTCTATCGTAAGGCCACAACACACAAGTCAACGTCTAAGGCGGCCACAGAGGAACTCCATGCACATATCCATGTGTGAAGAAGAGACGCTAACATAGTAAGAGCAAGGAACATTCGGGAACACAACAGAGCATACTATCAGCACGCATGGCAATATCATTTCCGAGCGAGAAAACTGCATCACATCAAGAGCCCCACGGTCCTCCCCTCCACCCCCGATGCAAAGGGCCTGGCGGGCGGCACTCCTGCAGCGAGATGTTTAGGGGACGTGCTTTCGTCCAGCTCCCCCCCTGGCCCGGCCAGGCTTTGCTGGGCGTCGCCGGCGGGGAGGACGTCGCCATGAAGCACACGGGTCTTGATGGAAACGGTCCCCCTGGATCCCCAACGGGATGTTTTTCCAATGGAGGTGTGTTTCTTCCACTCTTGGCCCTTGGGGCCCCGCATCCGGCCCTGAGACCAGCGACAACTTAGCAGGGCGAAATATCTGCCCCCCAGGGAAGGAGCCCAGAGGGTCGTGAGGCCGCGGATTGGAAAAAGACATCGTCGGGTGTCTGCGGGGTCAGGGTTCCTTTCCCCCGTTCTCGGGCTCCTGGCCCTGGGGTCTCAGAAGACCAGCCTGGCGCCATGAGATGCGTTTGTGGGGAATTCCTCGGGCCCGCTCCCTCCACGCCGAAGGACGACGAGTGGGGCATGCCCGGCACCGGCACGGACGACGAGCAGGGCGCTAACGGCACGGGCATCGCGTGCGGCACCCTCGCCCGAGCCTCAACGAGCCGCCTCCGCCTCTCGCTCCGACCGCGCCTCCCGCGTGCCTCCTCCGCACGCGCTCCCCGCGTCCTCCCGGCGTTCCTCCCGCCGCCCTCCCTCCCTCGGGGGAGGGAGGGCGGCGGGAGGGAGAGCTCGGGGGCGGAAAAGAGGGGGGTGATGACTAGGGGGGGGGTGGATATCATGGCGTGGGCCATGATATTTCACCAGATTTCATGGCGCCTCTTCTTATTTCATTACGTCCCTGGCCCCCCCGCTGGGCCGCGCACATGCCGCTGGTCATGATTTGCACCCCCCCTCTTGGACACCCCCCTCTTGGCCGCTCCCGAGAGGGCGGCGGGAGGGAGAGCAAGGGTCAGAGCGAGAGTTCTCGTCGACCAGTCGGTTGCGCCTCCAACTGGGGGCGCGTTCCCTCCCCGAGCCCAGGTCAGATCAAACCCTCCTCTCGGCGCGATCGGAACTGAATTACGGGAGGCATGGGCGCGCAGACGAGAGGCCTTATCTCGTCTCGCTCCCCCACTTCTTCCTCACCTCTTCCTCTCTGCCCCTGGGCAGGGCCGGCCGGCCAGGCCGATTTCCGGCCTCGGTGGCAAGCGCGCCAACGACGGCGGCAGGGGCGGAGGCGGAGCGGATGCGGCTTTCTCGGTTGACTGTGGCTTCTTCGGTTGAGTGTGGCTTTTTCGGTTGAACGGGTCCTCGAGTTTTTTCCCCAACCAGGCTTTGCCCAGCGGCCTCTTGCTTGTGGAAGAAGGCACTGGTTGCGGAGTGCTTCGCCCCCAGTGTGGCCCCAGATTCCTCAGGGTTCTTCGTCCCTCGGCGTTGCCCCGGGGGCCCACGGGATTACCCAGGAGCGCCAAGCAACGCCAAGCAGCGCCAGGCAATGCAAAGCGACGCAAGACACTACCAAGCAACGCCAGGCAATGCGAAGCAATGTTCAGCAATACCAGCCAAGCAAGATTCGAAGCAGCGCCAAGTGTTGCAAAGCAAGCAAAACCGACACCGAAAATGCCAAGATATATTGAGCAATGCCAAGCCACGCTAAGCAATGCAAATCAATGTCAGCAATGCCAAGCGGCGCCAAGCAACGCAAAACAATGCAAGGCAATGCAAAGAAACGCCAACCAACACCAAGCAACGACATGAAGCAATGTCAAGCAACGCCAAGGAACATAAAGCAACGCCAAGAAATACAATGCAACGCAAAGCAATGCAACACAATGCCAAGCAACGATTGCGAAGGCCTTTCGGCTTGTGCCGCCGACCCTCAAGCGGAACGACGACGACGACTGCGGCGGCGGCGGTGGCGTCGACGACGACGTTGACGTGAGTCAGAGTCCTCAGAGATGCTTCTTGGGGTCTCTTCGGAGCGCTCTCGGGGGCCTCTTGTGGGCAGTTTTGGTGTCTCTGGAGCGCCACTTGGGAACCTCTCGGGAGCCTCTCTTGGGAGCCTCTTGGGGCTTCCTGGAAGCCGTCTTGGGGGTCTCTTGGAAATCAATGAAGTTGACCTCGTGGGACCCTCGTGGGAGTGCTCTTCGAGGCCTCTTGGGGCGTCTTGGAGGTCTCTTGGTCCGTCTGGAGGCTACCTTGGGCGTCTTGGACCGAGTGCTCGGCGATTCGGGGCCATCTTGGGCTGTCTTGGCGGCCTCTTTGGGCACTCTTGGCCCGTCTTGGGGCCTTTCGGGTCTCTGGGACCCCCTGGGGCGATGGTATTCTGACCCAGGATCCCCTGTACCCCTCCTGCCCGAGACCCCCCCACGGCAAGGAAGATATCAAAGGGAAGGGTTACGTTTCGGCTTAATTGCGACTTACTCAAATTTCAGATCTCCAAACTTTTGAACTGACGGCGACGACCACGACGACGACTAAAATGGAAATGCGTCTCGCACAAGCCGACGGGTCGGCGGAATTGTGTTCTCGCATCAATGCCGGTTACATGTCTGGTCAGGGCGGTCACAACCCATTGTAGCAGAGATACATCAAGCTGCACGTGTTGAACAGCCGCCCTCCTGCTCCTCGGCCCGCCTCTTCACAGTTCATGCCATCACGGTGTTTTGCCGTGGTAAGTTATTGGGCCGGTCTCGGCGGGGCCATCGGTCGACGGGGTGCCCCACGCTTCGGCATGGACCTCGGGCCTGCTGCGGATGGCTGGTCTGGCACCCACCGGGCCATGGTATTGCGATCGGTGCGGGGGTTGCTGAGGAGAATGGGCGTTTTCAGTGGATGCCAAGGTGGCTTACAGTCAAGCTCAGGAGGGACCGAAACACACAGACACAATCAATCGGCGATTCCCCAGAAAATATGGGAAAACATGGGAGGTGGGTGGGAAGACAAAAACCCAGAAAATATAAGAAAATATGGGGAATATTTTTATTTGTGTGTATTTATTTGTGTGTCCTGGGGCCCCTTCAAAGATGCCGAAAAAGGACCGCTTCGGGCTCAAGAGGGGCTCAGGGGGGGCGCAGCTGCTCGTGCCGTAGATTCCTGCCGTGGACCCTGCCTGTGGCCCAGGCCCGCCGTGGCCTCCTCCTCCTCCTCCTCCTCCTCCTCCTGGATTGCACGATGGCTTCGCCGAGCCTGACGCAGAAGCGGGCGTTTCTCCATCGATCTCGGCTTTGAGGTTGGCACCCCTCTGCGAGTCCCTCCGACGCGCGGGGGGGCGAGGGGGCCGCGCCGCCCGCCTTCGGCCCGACAGAGCCCCCAGCGGAGCCGAGCGAGGAGGGGGGAGGTCTCGGCCACGCGCGGGAGGAATGCCACACGGTTTGGATGGCGACCGGTTGCCATGAAGGAAGCGGCACACGGTTTTTGTGGCGACCGGTTGCCATAACAAGAGCAATGGCACAGCACACGTTTCTGATGGTGGCCGGTTGCCATACAAAAACGCGTGATGTTCGTCTTGCGGCGACCGGTTTTCCTCGCCTTCGGCACTGGAGCGTTCTCCTCGCACCGCCTCGCCCGACCTCCTCTCCTCTTCCCTGTCGCCTGTTCGGGTCTGAGGCGGCCGGTGGCAGAGGCGGTGCTCGCCCTGGGCCGCGCACTTGCCTCGGGCCCCTCTCTGAGACGCTCCCAAGTGTCAGCCTGGGTCTCTGTTTGACGGTCCCGTGGCCCGGAGAGGGCCCCTGGAGGCCGGATGCCGCCGAACACCTGCCGTCGTGACCCTGGTCGCGGCGCGCGGAGGTCTGCGACGGGCGGCTGTCCCTCGGCTCACACGAGCGGAGCTGCCCTCGGCGTTGCAGACCAGCCACAGCCAGGGGAGCCGTGGCCCTTGCATCTTTGAAGCTTCTTCCAGATCTCTTTGGCCGTCTGAGGGCGTGCCTGGTCCGACGCCGTCGGACGCCGCCTTCAGGGGGGGTTCTCTGGGCCAGCTTAGGGCCTTCTTGGGGCTTGGGGCGCATCATAGCCGCCTTGGACTTCATCCTGGGCATCTTCTTGGTCTCCTGGGCCGTCTTGGGGCCCTCTTGAGACCTTCTTGGGAGCATCTTGGGCCGTCAGGGTGCCATCTCGGAGGCCTCTTGGGCGCTTTTGGGACCATTCAAGCGGCCTCTGGGGCCGTCTTGGTCCGTCGGGAAGCCGAAAATCCGCAAACACCAACATTTTCCAAGAGAAATGCAGAAAATCATTCCTCGGCCGTCTTGGAGCCTTTGGGCGATCTTGGGGGCATCTCGGCCCGTCCTAGAGACATCTTGGGGTCATCTTCGGCTCTCTTGGGGCTATCGTAGCAGTCTTGGAGACAATCTTGGCAGTTGTGGAGGCTCTCCTGGGGCCGTCTGGAGCCAGAAGGCCGACGACCTGGGAAGTTTGTGGGTCCTCGTGGAGGCGAGTTTTCCGGTGTGGGGACCATCTCGGAGGCCTTTTGGGCGGCTCTTGGGGCCATCTTGGAGGCCTTTGGGGCCGTCTTGGGCCGTCGGACACCTGAAAGTTAGCAAACGCAGAAATCGCGTAGAAGCCCAACACATCATTCATGTTGGGCGCTTCGAGGCTTCCAGGAAGTCCTCTTGGAGGCCTCTTGGGCCGTCTTGGAGACCTCTTGGGCGATCTCGAGGCCATCGTGGGAGCATCTCGGCCCGTCTTAGAGACACCTTGGGGTCATCTTCGGCTCTCTTGGTCGATCTGGGCCGTCTCGGAGGCCTTCTTGGGGCCGTCTGAAGCGGGAAGCCCGACGACTTGGTCAGTTTCCGGGTCATCGTGAAGGCGAGTTTTCCGGTTCAGGGGCCATGTCGGCGGCCCCTTAGGCGCTTTTTGGGCCATCCAGGTGGCTTCTGCAAGCGCCAGAATCTTTCAGCTAACTAAGGAAGCAACTGATTCGATGCTTCTTCGAAATCCTCTTTGAGGCCTCTTGGGCAGTCTTGGCGGCCTCTGGCGATGTTGGGGCCATGTCGGGCCATCTTGGGGGGCGTCTCGGCCCGTCTTGCAGGCATCTTGCGACCATCTTCGGCCTTCTTGTAGGGGGCCACATGCGAACCCTACCCCTACCCCCCACGATCTCTGAGGGGGAGGGTGGGGTTCACTCGGTTCGGGAGCTCCCGAGCGAAGTGAACCCC